ACATTTATTATCAGGGTATGGGGGCAAAAGTGAAACAAGGGGGCAGAAACAGGAAACAGAAACCCAGTAGAAACTGAAGAGGCCATTTTCTTAGTCACTCTCACCTCTGTGTCCCTTTGCCCATCTTCTCATTCTGTTTCTGCAGACTCCCCTGCTGAGCTTCTCCATGGACATGACTCTGCCACAACTGGAAGGTTTTATCAACTCAGTTCTAGTCATTTGCAGAGAACAAAGGGCTGCTTCTCTCCCAGTGCCACAGTACCAGAGGAGAGAATCCGATTGGCCCTTTTGGGTTAGGTTCCCTATGTGGTTCAATTGATAAAGTCACATAGTATAAAAATGGCTGCTGGGGCCACATCTGTGAGGGAGGGGCAGTTTTTGGAGGAAGAGTGTTGTGGTAAACTGGCTTAGCGTGCAATGGAGGAACCAGATGATCCAGTGTTTGAACTTAATCTAAATTAAAAATAAGCTCGGGTGCCTGGGTGGCTCAGTCGTTAAGCGTCTGCCTTCGGCTCAGGTCATGATCCCAGGGTCCTGGGATCGAGTCCCACATCGGGCTCCCTGCTCGGCAGGAAGCCTGCTTCTCCCTCTCCCACTCCCCCGCTTGTGTTCCTGCTCTCACTGTCTCTGTCAAATAAGTAAATAAAATCTTTAAAAAATAAAATAAAATAAAATAAATTAAAAATAAGCTCTGTGCGGGTAACTGGGTGGTATAGTTGGTGAGCACCCTACTCTTGGTTTCAGCTCTGGATGTGATCTCAGTGTCATGAGATCAAGCCCTGCATCAGCTCCACGCTCAGCGCAGAGTCTGCTTAAGATTCTCTCTCCCTCTCCCTCTGCCCCTCCCACTCGTGTCCTCTAGCTCTCTCTAAAATAAAAAAAAATAAAAAAGCAAAGCTCAGCTCTGTGTAAGGGTCTGAGGTGCTCCCCTCTGAAGAAACAACCTGAGGTTTGGCCCCATTATTGTGTACACACATTGTTTTTTTCTGAGGCCCTGATTATCTACTCCCTGTTTTTCTTTCTTCTTTTTTTAAAAGATTTTATTTATTTGACAGAGAGAGACACAGTGAGAGAGGGAACACAAGCAGGGGGAGTGGGAGAGGGAGAAGCAGGCTTCCCGCTGAGCAGGGAGCCCAATTCGGGGCTCGATCCCAGGACCCTGGGATCGTGACCTGAGCTGAAGGCAGACGCTTAAGGACTGAGCCACCCAGGCGCCCCTTTTTATTTTTTTAATTTGATATGATTCACATACCATAAAAGCCACCCTTCTGAAATGTACAGTGCAGTGACTTTTAGGATATTCACAAGGATTCTGCAACTCTCACCATTATGTAATTTCCGGAACATTTCCTCACCCCCAACAGAAACCTCGTACTCATTAGTAATCAATCCCCACTGTACTTTCCCCCAGCCCTAGGCAACCACTAATTGACTTTCTGTCTCTATGGATTTTCCTATTCTGGACATTTCATATAAACAGAATCATAGAATATGTGGCCTTTTGTACCTGGCTTCTTTCACTTAGCATCATGTTCTCAAGATTCATGCACATTGCAGCATGTATTTACGGCTGAGTAATATTCCATTGTCTGGACATACCACAAGTTTTTCCATTCATCAGCTGACAGACACTTAGGGGATCTCCACGTGTTGACTATTATGAACGGTGTTGTGAACATCCATGCACAAGTTTTTGCATGAACATATCTTTTCAATTCTCTTGGGCATATAGTACACCCAGGAATGGAACTGCTAGATCACATGGTGATTGTTAACATTTTGAGGAACTGCCAAACTGTTTTCCAAAAGGGCTGCACCATTTATTTTTCCCAGCAGCAGTGTATGAGTCTTCCAATTTCTCCACAGCCTTGCCATCTTTCTGACTGTCCCTTGTTTTAATTATAGCCATGCTAAGCAGATGAAGTGGTATCTCATTGTGATCTTGATGCACATCTCCCTAGTGATATTGAACATTTTTATGTTCTTATTGACCATTTGGGTATCTTCTTTGTAGAAATGCTATTCAAATCTTTTGCCCATTTTAAATTGGGTTGTCATTTTACTGATTAGTTAGAAGAGTTAAAGAACTCTTTGTGCACCTGGCTGGCTCAGTTGGTAGAGCATGCGACTCTCAATCTCAGGGTCATGAGTTCAAGCCCCACACTGGGTGTGGAGCCTACTTAAAAAAAAAAAAAAAAAAGAATAAAAAGAGTTAGACTCTTACTTAGAATATTTAAGATACTAGACCCTTATTAGATACATGTTTTATAAGTATTTTTCACATACTGTGGGTTGCCTTTTCATTTTCTTGATGGTGTCCTCTGAAGCACAAAAGTTTTTAAATTTTTTTGTTTTTCGTTTTGTCACCCACCTGTGCTTTTGGTGTCATGTCTAAAAAACCGCTGACTAATCCAAAGTCACAAAGATTTACACTTATATTTTCATCTGAGTCTTACACGGTCTCGCTCTTACACTTGGGTGTTTGATCCATTTTGAGTTAATTTTTATATATGGTAAGAAAGACAGGGGTCCAACTTCATCATATGCATGTGGATATCCAGTTGTTCCAACACCATCAATCGAAAAGACTATTCTTTCCTCATTGAATTGTCTCGGCACCTTTACTGAAAATCTCATTTTTTTAAAAACTAAATTCCCATGGTTGTTCAGCAACTACAGTCAAACGTACGACAAATATGCAACTGCATGTGATTAAGATGTAGGTATGTGAGGTAAAAGGGTGATGGGTATTAAAGAGGGCACGTGTGGTGATGGGCACTGGGTGTTATACGCAACTAACAAATTGTTGAACACTACATCAAAAACTAATGATGTACTATATGTTGGCTAATTGAACATAATAAAAAATCCATACAGCAGCTTTGTATGATAAAAAAAAATAAAATAAAGATTTTATTTATTTATTTGAAAGAGAACACACAAGCATGAGCAGGGGGAATGGCAGAGGGAGAGGGAGAGAGAGAAGCAGGCTCCCCGCTGAGCAGGGAGCCGGGCGTGGGACTCCATCCCAGGACCCCAAGATCATGACCTGAGCTGAAAGCAGACACTTAACCACCTGAACCACCCAGATGCCCCCAAAGGAAATCTTTCAATAAGTATAACAAAAATCAGAAATAACAAAAAAGAACTGGCAGCAATTTTTCTTTCTTAATAGGACTTAAAGTAGGGAAACTACCTCTGTAGGGAGAGTTGGGACTCCCACTTTTTGCTTTATCCAGTTCTGTATTGTTCGAATTTGTTACAAAGAACATGTTTTACTTTCCTAATTGAGATGGTCTTTTAATCTTTATAAACAATTGCTTAACTTCAAAAAAAAAGGAAAAAAAAGATGTAGGTATGTGAAAAGTCCCAGCTGTAATCAGCATTTACTTTCACTTTATACAAACTAAGATTACTTAGTTTGTATAAAGTAATCTTAGTTTATATGTAAGTTATACTATGGCTAGTACACTGGGTATATTCACTGTGGTGATGGTTCCATGGGTGTGTGTGTATGTGTGTGTGTGTGTGTGTGTACATATATATATGTCAAACTTACAAAACTGTACACTTTAAATATGTGCAGTTTTTTATATGTCAATTATACCACAAAAAAGCTGTTTTTAAAAACAGATAAAGTAAGGGCAAGAATATGAATGAAGTAACTTTCTTTTCCTAATCATTTTCAAGATCAGCTTCTCTCATTGGTCCTGAGGATATAATACCAACTAGTAGTTTAGAAAAACTTACTTATACATTTCTCCTACCTGCCTTGTTCCAAAACACAAGCAAACCATTTATTTTTTAAGATTTTATTTTTAAGTAATCTCTTCACCTGGGGCGCCTGGGTGGCTCAGTTGGTTAAGCAACTGCCTTCGGCTCAGGTCATGATCCCAGGGTCCTGGGATCGAGCCCCACATCGGGCTTCCTGCTCGGAGGAGAGCCTGCTTCTCCCTCTCCCACTCCCCCTGCTTGGGTTCCCTTTCTCTCTCTCTCTCTCTGTCAATTAAATAAATAAAATCTTTAAAAAAAAAAAGTAATCTCTACACCCAACATGGGGCTTGAACTCACATACCCAAGATCCAGAGTCACATGCTTACCAACTGAGCCAGCCAGGCGCCCCCAAAACACATGCAAACCATTTAAACTCAAGATTTGTAAGGCTGGGACCATCTCATTACTGTGGGATAAATATTAACAAGAGCTGGAACTGAGTTTGGCTCTTAAGGAAAGAATTTTTAAGTCCCCTTCCAATGAGAATTTAGCAGCTATATATTCCTTTTCTACACAGAATTTAAGCCCTCCCAACTGCACCAAGCTCAATTTTGGCAGAGACTTCATCTGCCTGTTCACCCTCACATCCCTAGCATCAAGAATACTGCCAAACACACAACAGGCACTCAGTAATATCTGTCAAATGAATGGATAAAATCCCACTTAAACTTAATCACCACCTTTTCTTAGGACCATTTTGGACTGAGCCAGGTGGCAGGTCTAGTCTTCCTTCTAGCTCAACAATTCCATCTCTAGAGACAGATGCTGTCTATTTCCTTCAAATTTTATTATTCACTTTTCTCATCTGGAAAAACAAGGTGGTGCGGCTTAGGAACCTCACATCCAGGAAATGAACTAAAATATTTTATCCAAGATTATACATAGGATCCACAAACTAGAAGCAATCAGGTGAGAACGGTTAGGAAAATCATGGCATACTCTCTGGAAGAAACAGCCCATTTATTAAAAATGATCATTATGACAAGTCTGCAATAACATAGAAAACACTAGTAGTATGAACCAGGAAAAAAAAAAAACCATCATTGCCTGTGATTTACAAACTAAAATTTTATACACATCTACCTGTGAGAATTTATACTCCACGAAGGCAGGCTGTTTGGGCTTGTTCTGTTAACTGAACAGGGCCGGGCATATTTAAGGTGCTTATTAATACTTATTGAATGCATTAATGAAACTCAATATAAAATATATCTTTGAAAACATACCTGAAAGGGAATGAACAAACGTGGAAAATTATGTTCGAGGAGTAGAATCGTGGGCGTTTCCTCCACTTCCCTTTATTTTCCAATTCTCCCTAAAGTTGTGATAAAACTTCCTCAGTTGAAAGGATGGCCAGAGAAACCCTCCCCTGGCTCAGGATGCTTCTTCCCTCCTCCTTTAACTAAGGAAGCATCTGAATTGGAGTAGCGCTGTGGCCTGGCTTCAATTCCAACAGGGCCACTGTCTAGGGTGTGTGACTCCAGCCAAGGGCTCCTAGGGCACCTGACATTTAGGTTTTTCTTCCAGAGGTTGAGAAGGCACAAGCTGGGACCTCCCGAAGGGCTGCTCTTTCTCCTAAGCTGCCCCCGTCCCCCACAGGTCTACTCGTACCTCCTAGACCACCTAAAGGAGCAGCTCAGAAGCCCCCCCCCCCATCTTACCCCCCCCCCCCCGCCCCGAGGGGTAACTCATTCCCAAGGGAGAGGTCACTCTCCACCACGGCTCTATCTCCACTAAGGCAGTCACTCGTTCTCCCCGGCCCTCCAGAGGGTCATTCGTTCCCAGCGAGGAGATCACCCCTTCCTGGTAGAGCCAATGCCACTTTGCGGGGGTCGCTCGTTCTCCCCGGCCCTACCGACGAGGTCACTCGTCCTCAAGGGAGAACTCACCCCCTCTCCACGGGTCCCACTCCCCCCGAGCGAGTCGCTCGTACCGGAGAAGGACGTCGCCTTCGCCCGGCCCCCGCCCCGAGGCGCAGCACCGCCTCCTTCCGGGCCCTCCCACGCGAGTAGCGGCGCCACGGGCCGCGGGCCGCCTGGGCGGGGCTCCCGGGCGCGTACCAGGCGGCGGGCCGGGTGGCGGGGCGCAGAGCGCGGAGCCGGGCGGCGCGGTAGCAGCCGGCCATGGCGGGCTGCTGCGCGGTGCTGGCCGCCTTCTTGTTCGAGTACGACACGCCGCGCATCGTGCTCATCCGCAGCCGTAAAGTGGGGCTCATGAACCGGGCTGTGCAGCTGCTCATCCTGGCCTACGTCATCGGGTGAGCGCGGCCGCAGGCGCTGTCCCCGAGGGGCTCGGGGGTCCGGAGTGTCGCGACGGCCGGGAACTCGCCTTCTGGGTCCTGGCCGTGCACCTGCTGCTCTTGGCCTAGGTCGCCGGGCGAGCCCCGCAGGCGGCCTCGAGGCGCGGTCCGGGAGACGGCGACCGGAGGCGGATGACATACGCCTCTCCGGACCCTGGCCCCCCAGAGGGCTGGGCGGTGGGCCGGGCTCCGGGGCAGGAGACTGCTTTGATACTGTGGGGGGTTTTTTGTTTTTGTTTTTGTTTTTTTCAGGGCAAAGCCTGGCTGGACCTTCATCCTCACCTTTCCTGTTTCTTGTTCCCTGAGTTGCTCCATGCTGTCCTTTGGCTTTGCCCTTAACGTTTCAATCTTTGCACTTCACTTCCCATTCTGATGATCTGACAGAAACCAAGGCTTGGACTTTCCATTTGGTTCCTTTTCGGCCAGTGGCTTCCGGTCCTTTAAGAATCATGTGGTAACCCAAGATGATGAAGAGGTCACACTCTAAAAAGCATTTAAAGTTCACTTCGTCTTGTGGAGTTGTTGGGGTTTTTTTTGTATAGGTACCTTCCTTCGCTTCATCATTCCCCATGCTGCCCTCTTATACTTCTATATGTCCTGCCACCTTCTGTCCCCTCGCCAAGTGCTTAATTTTCATTGAGTGCACCCGTTACAATTTAATGAAACTCGAGAGAAGGTAGAAATTAACTGGGCCCACTTTCAAGGTCCACCTGGGGTGTTAATGGTGTCTACAGCTGCTGAGCTGACAGATGTTATCTGTTCTGGCATTCCTTTTCTTAGAAGGCCTAATGCTGTGGTCCCCAGCTGCACATTAGAACTTTGGGGAATCTTTTAAAAATACTGATTGCTGACTCCCATCCCCAGACCTTCTGATTTAATTGCTATGGAGTATGACTGACGCCCCAAGTGATTCTGATGGGGAGCAGTTTGAGAACCAATGTCCTAATGTTCCCTAAACCTACCTAATCACAAAAGACTCACCTGAGGAATTGTAGGAAAGTAACAGATCCTCCACCCTGGGGTGAGGCTTGGAATGTTAACATGGTCCACGGGAATTCACATGATCAGGCAGGTATGGCTTCTAACAGCTATCAGCCCAGCAGCAGTAAGTTCTGACAGGATTCAGTGAAATGGCTTCCCACATATGGGCTGTACATCAGATCCACCTGGCCCACTCCTAGGTTTGAATTTAGTGAGTCTCGTTAAGTACCACCCCCAACTCCTTGCCCCCCGGTGATTGTGATGCACCCTTGCATTTTGAGACCTGCTACCAACTGGTTAACTAAACTCACGTTGCTGGATTGGATCAGAAGCGTTTAGAATGAAGGGCTCTCAGCTTTTCCCTCTTGGCTTTTGATATTAGGGGGAGGATTAGTTTAACCCTATCTTAGGGTATCTGTAAAGTTCTAGACTACAGGAAGTATACACCGTATGATATAGTAGCCACTAGTCACCTGTGGCTTTGGAGCTCTTGAAATGTACCTACTCCAAATCAAGATGCGCTATCACCATAACATACACACCAGATTTCAAAAACATAGTGCAAAACAACCAAAAAAGTAAAGTAGCACATTAATACATCCTAGACTGATAACATGTTAAAATATTTTGGATATATTCGGTAACATAAAATCTATCATTAAAATTAATTTTACCTATTTTTCTTTTTAACATGGCTACTAGAAAGTACATTACATATGTGGCTTGTGTTACCTTTCTGCTGGGCAGCATAGCTTTCTAGGGTTCCTGGAGTGTTTGCTACCTTGATCATGAGGATCTATAAAGCAGTAAAAGCTTTGCTTTTATCCATCTTCCTATGATCAAAACCGACTCAGGATCTGAACTAAGGGCTTTTTTCTTTCTTTCTTTCTTTCTTTTAAACTCATCTCTTATCTTCCTGATCCAATTCATCTTAGACTAAACATGCATTTCTCAATTATCTAACTCTGTTATCTGTCATATGATGAGGAAATAGTTAATGACATAGTGATTCCTGTAAAACCATGTGTCTCTCTTTAGCAACTCACTGAACAATATAGTAAAATAATGGTAACCTTCCTGCCCTAAGTTTCTATGTGCCAGAATAGAATTAAATGAAAGCTTATATTGCAGCTAAATTCCTAGAACCCCTGAAGAAAAGGCCTTATTTGGGGAAAAGCCTGTCTCTGGGATGGACAATGAATATGGAGACTGGTCAGACCAGACTAAGGTATAAGTAACCAAAACCAGTGATGTTTTGAAGTCTCAGCAGCTAGGGCTTATAAGAGGAGATGGATGCTAGCCTTTCTTGTTTCTAGAAATAATAACAATAATAGTCGCTGGTAGGTGTTCAATAACAGCTCTGGCAGGAAAGAGTTCTGATTTGTAGCATTGGCCAATGTCCATGGTGGAAATACTCCCATCGTGGCCAATTTCAGCCTACAATGGCACCACAAACATTGTTCTAAACATCTAATAGGCAAAACTCATTTAACCTCAAAACTATCCTGTGAAATCCTATTATCATTCCCATCTTATTGGTGGGAAAAACAGGCATAGAGAAGTTAAGCAACTTGGCCAAAGTTATGCCTGATGAATGGTGCAGCTGAGAAATGAACCATGATCACTGGCTTCAGTTTGTGTTCCGGTGTCTGAACCACTGTGCACTAATGTCTTTAGATTTTTAGTTATTCAGACTGGTTGTAATGCCCCCAGTTCTTCCTAGAGAAGAGAAGCATACATGTGACCTGAATTCTTGGAGAAAAAATGTAAGAAACTAGTATAAAAAGTTACTTGAACAGTGAGATTCTCTTTTCTAGAGGGAGTTTAGCATACAGGGCAAGAAAAGAGGCTTCAGAGCGAAAGACTTGAGCTCAAATCCTGACTTTGTCATTCACTAGCTGTGTGACCTTAGGCAAGTGACGTAACCTCTGTGTCTGTTTCCTCCTCTGTAAAACTAGAGAATAATAAGGATATCTGCCTTATAAAGTGGTCAGGATTAAATTAGTTAATACATATATAGAGCTTAGATCAGTACCTGGCACCTGAAAACACTCAAATGGTAACTCTTCTCATAATTTTTGTCATCTCTTGGTAGTTCTGCAGGCCGTAGTGCGTTGAAAGTGCTCATATACCTAATAAAGACAGCATTCATTGAATACTTTCTTTGTGCTGATCACTATGCTAAGTGCTTTACCTACGTCATCTCATTTTTCTCCCACAAACCACCCTAAACCTGTGGTTTAGTTTATACACCCATTTTGCAGAAGTGGTAATGGAGCCCCCCAAAGTTAAGCATAAAGTCATGTAATTAGTGAACATTACACTGTCAACCTTTGGCTATCAGAGGCTCCCTAGCAGCAGTTCAAATTCACAGAATCCTTATGGCAATTTAAGGGGCCTGTTTTATTTTGTAGGTGGGTGTTTGTGTGGGAAAAAGGCTACCAAGAAACAGATTCTGTGGTCAGCTCAGTTACTACCAAAGCCAAAGGCGTGGCTGTAACCAACACTTCTACACTTGGATTCCGGGTCTGGGATGTGGCGGATTATGTGATTCCGGCTCAGGTATGCCTCCCACCGTGGCTTCTGTCCTACACCAAAACTGCTGATTAGTTCCTTTCCCTTTATTGACTTTGCACTCTTGATTAATGATTGGCAGAGTTCTAACATCACAGAGGCCCAAACTAATTGTCTTAGTCCAAGAAAGCAGTGCAGAAGGATCTCTTTCTGCCTTAAGGTCTAATAAACAATATTCAACCAGCTATGTTTCTTCAGCTTTAAATCATGGCGGGCTTAAACACAGACAACTCAGTCTGTCTCGAGCCCCGAAAGGTGGAAAAGCAAATACTTTAAATCCTGGGAAAAATTCAGGTGGAAATATTGCCTTCCCACATTTTGTATGTGCTTTATTGTTGTAAACCCACAAGGTAAATCTTTTCAGTGTAGAAAGTTGATCTGTAATTGGAGACCAAAGCCAGACCAGAAGGAAACAGACAAATCTGCATAGGATTTCATCAGGAACAGAGGAGAAGGGAAGAAAGAAAGTGTTTGATACAGCATCCTAGGATCCAGTCTGTTAATCCACAAAGCTCCAAGTTAAATACTGACTCTCTTTAGCCATGATAATGGCTATGTTCCACAGCCAGACCCTGACATATCCCTCCAAATGGCGCCTGTGTTAGGATGTCTGGGGTGGCTAAATCTCTCTCGGCTCAGAGCTTGGCAAGGGAAAGCAAGGACTTCAGAAACTCTCTTTTTCTTCAAGTGTATTCGTTTTCCCCCTGCCTTCTCAAGAGAAGGGTTTTGCAGGGTGCCCAGAGGGAGGACTGAGCAAATAAGCAATGCAGGTCAAATGGAACAGGGGATTCGCAGTTTGCGGGAGGTGGGTGGTCCTATGGGCATGCGCCAGTGTCAACAGAGAGACCACTCCTTTCTGTGAAGCCATGGCCTCGTCCTGGCAAGCTCTGGGGCCATCACACTCAGTCTGTTCACTGGGACCAAGGAAGAGTGTGGGCCCACTGCTTCTGCCCCTCAGTGGGACGGAACAGGCAGCAGCTCTGCCTTCCAGCTTAGCTCTGGCCCGGGGGCTTCGTGAGCTCCACAGAGCTCCCTTCATGAGCTTTCACAATGGCCTCCTGCTTCTCCACAGATGGAACACACACGTCAGTTTGCACCACTTCTACTTGGCTCATCTCTGGACTGAAGCTTCCCTAAGCTTAAAATAGAGAAGAAATAGGAAACAAAGAGTAAACCCTGTTGAGTTGTTCACATCTATCTCAGGAGCCGCTGGGGCAGCTTCTATAGACCACGTGAACAGCAGGTCTCTGTGGGAACACCGAGGACACTGACAGGGGTGCCAGGAGAGACACTCGGGCATCGTGCCACATCCTCAGGCCTCCTCTTGGGGTCATTTCCTGTCTCCCCAGTGGCTTGTTCTAGGCCTTTCTTTGGAAGATGCCAGCCATTCCCAGAGCTTCCACCACCTCGTCAGACCTGGGGGTGGAGATGTCTACAGACACTTTGATCCTTGAGTTACCCTGATCGCCCAGATGGCTGCCAGTGCTGACTCCACTTTTCCCGGGAGTCTGAAATGCTGAGAGAAAGCTTCTGGTATTTCATTTTAGAATGCCAGTGTTCAGTGAGGGGGAGGTCCAACTAGAATTTTTGGGCATCTTTGTCTTTTACTCCTAATGTTGGAAGGTCCTTAGCAACTGACTCTTTAGTCTCATCCCCAGTGAACTGCACTCCAGAAACTGAATCAACCATTTGGCACCTTCCTAGGAGGAGAAAACAGAACCTTCTCGAAGGGAGAAGCATCGGTTACAGACCCTGACTGGGTCTTCTCTAGAATGTTTTATTTATTTAATTTCAGTTAGGAAAGAAAACCAGCCAAACTTGGGACCTTGGTGGCCTTGTGTTTTTGTACCTCTGAGGCAACCTGGTTGGCAGACAATGTTTTGCGCACCTGTTGGATCTTTTCCCTCAACAAGCCAAGCTTTAATTAAGGAGCCACCTCAGGTGATAGGCATTTCTTTTTCCACTGAGGTGAAATTCATATGTCATAATATTAACTATTTCAGATTGAAAAATTCCGTGGCATTTAGTACATTCACAATATTATGCAACTATCACCTCCTTCTAGTCCAGAACATTTCGTTACCCTAAGAGGAAACCCCACCCCCATTAAGCAATGGCTCCCCATCCCACCCTCTGCCTTACCCCCACCTCCAGGGCAACCACTCATTCTGTATTTATGGAAACTTCATAACAAATAGAATCACGCAACAAGTGGCTTTCTGTGTCCGACTTCTTTGACTTAGCGTCCTATTTTTGAGGTTTGTCCACATTGCAACGTGTCAGGGCCCCATTCTTTTTTATGGCTGGGTCATGTTCCATTATAGATACATACACAGGTATAGATAAACACAATCTGTTTATCCATTCATCTGTCAATAGACATTTGGGTTATTTCCACCTTTGGGTCACGATGAATAATGCTGCCATCAACATACGTAAACAGTAGGCCCCACCCCCCACCCCTTATCCACGGTTTCAGTTACCCATGGTCAGCTGCAGTCCAGAAACAGATGATCCTCCTCCTCCTGACATATCCTCCGGTCAGTAGTAGCCCAAGGCTACATCACAACGCTCCCATCCCTCGCCTCCCTTCCCCTCATCCCACAGCCATTTTATCGTCACCCGAAGAAGGGTGAGTACAGCACAATAAGGTATTTTGAGAGAGAGAGGCTACATTCACATAACCATTATAGCATATTATTATAATTCTATTTTAGTATCAGTTGTTGTTAATCTCTTACTGTGTCTAATTTATAATTTAACTTTATCACAGGTACGTACGTCTCAGAGAAGACATAGTCTATATATACTATCTGCAGTTTCAGGCGTCCCCCGGAGATAAGGGGACTATGGTACAAGTATTTATTTGAATCCTGTCTTCAGTTAGGTTATAAACTCTCAGAGAACAAGAGATCAAAAGATCATTTTTTAAATTGTTTTTTGCATGGCATGTGGGAGAAGTGAAAGGTACTGTCCTATTAAATGAGTGACTGGCGTTCTTCGTGGCTTGGCTTGATTCCTTTGAAGGTAACAGGGTGATGCTGTCTCCCTTCTGCAGGAGGAAAACTCCCTCTTCATCATGACCAACATGATCATCACCGTGAACCAGACCCAGGGCTCCTGTCCCGAGGTAGGCAGCTTCTCCGGGAAGAGCCTCAGGCCTCAGGCCCCTCTCGTCGGCACCTGACTGACCACATGGCATTTCACTCTTTCTTCTTTTTCTAGCTTCCAGATAAGACCACTGTGTGTAAATCAGATGCCAACTGTGTTGCTGGCTCTTCAGGCACCCACAGCAACGGTATGAGCACGTGGCTGTGACCCCACAGCAGACACTTAGCCTGGGGAGGGCAGCCCCTGACTAGATTGCCTCCTCTGTGGGGCTTCTCTCATAGAGAAATCTTCAGGATGGAGAAATCCCCCACATTCCCCAATTCCTCCACATGACCCTGAGTGAGGCTGCTGTTCAGATTAGGGTCCCGGGATCGTCTCAACATTCACCTGTCATCTGTGCCCCAGAAGCCATCCCAGATCTTGCCCTGTGCTGGGGCTTGGCATCATCCTAGCCCTGCCCTTGGACTCAGCCATCTCTTTTCCTCTCATTTCTGGAAACTGTATAAATCCCAGAATTGGGATAGGTCAGAATTGATTGCACAGGCTGCTGTGCTGGTGCTCCCACTCTCTACCTTGCAAAGTAGAAAATAGGAGACCCCTGCAGACCTGGGTCCCCCTTGCACCTGCAGGAATTGCAACAGGAAGATGCGTGCTGTTCAATGGGACTGTGAAGACATGCGAGGTGGCAGCCTGGTGCCCAGTGGAGGATAACACCCACGTGCCCGAGTGAGTCCTGCCCGAGGGAAGGCGGCCGGGGAGTTAAGCCTCGTGTGTTGCGCTCTTGGTGTCCATGTGGAGTCAGGCTTCCGCAGGGTGGGGACCACAGGCAGCCATCAGAGGCAAGGTGGGCCACGGTGTTTGTCACTTGTGATGTCACAGCTGATTTATTTCTATGTCTGGACTCTGTCAGTTGCAAGTAACTCCAGGAAACAGTTCTCAGTGCCTTACCCAGGACACACACATAGCAGGGCCAGTTTATTGTTCAACAAACTACAAAGAGCCCAGCACGACCAGACCTAGGGCTCAAAGGACAGCTTCAGAGTCTCTACATTATGACTCTGCTTCCCCCCGTACTGGCTTCGTTTGCAGGACCCATGGTATAGTCCCGGGAGGTGGCTCTCGGCTTACATTCCCCCAAGTCTTCCAGCCCAGTTGTCCATAGAGGTTCTAGATCTGTCCATCATCACATTTTCAGCCACATCCCTCAGCCCATCACTGTAGCTGGGGCATGGATTTTGCTTATCAGCTCAGGCCTGGGTCACCTGCCCATCTCCGGAGCTAGGGTGGAGTCAGTCCCGCCCAAGGAACACAGCCTGAGAGTAGGGAGGTGTGGCTTCCAAAGGAAACTGGGGGTTCCGTTACCAGAAAAGAAGGGAACAGAGGCTGGGCCGGAAAATAATTAATGTCCACTGAGTGTTGTATAAAGTAGAGCAGGTCCAGGGTTGCCCTAGAATAACATTTTTTCCCAATAGTAATTTGCTCTGCGTGGACTGGTTAGGGTTAGAGGTAATGCTCCCAGAATTGCTTGCAACTCCAGCATTCCTTACCCAGAGTTCAGACTGAGGCCTGGATGAGGCCAGAGGCGCAGGGAGTCCCATGAACCCCATCCCAGGTGTGCTGCAACAGAAGAACCTCTGATTTCCAGATTGCTGAGGGCAGCAGCTCAGGCTAGGGAAGGAAACAGTAAAAGAAAAGGAATCTAGCATTTTTGAGGTGGAAAGGGTCTTACAGGGCTGTGCCCCCTCCCTAACACCAGTGCCACTGGCCGTGGGTGTCTACTGAGCGCTCGCAATGTGTCTGGAGCCAATAAACTGCTCTGTGTAAAATGTACTCCAGAGTCCAAAGACATTATGGGGGGAAAATATATATATATATGTATAAAATTAATATTATGTGTTTACCTGGTGAAGTAATACTTTAGATATATTGGGTTATTATACAAAAGTTAATTTCACTTGTTTCTTTTTGCTTTTTATTTTTTTTTAAGATTTTATTTATCTGAGCGAGAGAGAGAGAGCACACATGCAGGCAGCATGAGGGAGCAGGGAGGAGGGAGCAGGGGAGGGGGAGGGGCAGAGGGAGAGGGAGAAGCAGACCCCCCGCTGAGCAGGGAGCCCAACTCAGGGCTGGATCCCAGGACCCTGGGATCATGACCTGAGCCAAAGGCAGATGCTTAACTGGTGGCGACTGAGCCACCCAGGCGTCCCTTCTTTTTACTTTTTAATGTGACTACTAGGAACTTGGAATTACGAGATGGTTTGTATTTGCGTCTCATATTTTCATTGGACATCAAGGTTATAGATTTAATCCTGTGGAAGGTGATTTTTTATTAAAGATTTATTTATTTACTTTAGAGAGAGCGAGCACAAGGGGAAGGGGCAGAGGGAGAGGGAGAGAGAGTCCCAAGCAGACTCTGCGCTGAGCGCAGAGCAAGACACGGGGCTCAATCTCACAACCCTGAGATCATGACCTGAGCTAAAATCATGAGTCGGATGCTCAACCGACTGTGCCACCCAGGTGCCCCCAGTGGAAGGTGATTTTTAAGTGTACAGTGATACATACAATAACATGAGTCACATAGATAGACATTCCCATATCCGTTCAAATTCAGCTTCTATACTTATATCAAGAAGGAAATCTTGGTTTGGGGTGTCTATTGTCACTTGCTGATTTCCATTTCTCACAGAGAATAATCCCCAGATCAGCACCTTGGGCAAACAGGAATATTAACTACAATGTTTAGTAATATTGTTTTGATTAGATTACATTTATTTGAACAGTGACCGCTGACTTGGGGCCAATGATACCTGTTATGGTCATGATGGAAAATTTCATTTCAAAATGAATGCCAATTTAAAAAGTAAATTGATCGTAAAAGTGGAAACAACCCAAATGTCCATCAACAACAGAGAGAGAGATAAACAGGTTACAGTCCATCCATGCAAGGGAATATGACTCAGGCATAAGAAAAGAATGAAGTGTTACATGCTACAACATGGATGAACCTGGAAAACAGGGTGCTAAGTGAAAGAAACCAGACACAAAAGGGTACATACTGTATGATTCCATTCATCTGAAAGATCCAGAGTAGACAAATCTAGAGAAATAAAAAGTAGATGAGTAGTTCCCAAAGGCTGGGCGGAAGGGAGGATAGGTAACTACTGTTAAATGGGTACAAAGTTTCCTTTGGGGGTGATAGAAATGTTCTAGAACCAGATGTTGGAGATGGTTTGCACATTGTGAATGCGTTTAATGCCGCTGAATTAAACACTTTAAAATGGTTAATTTTACGTTATGTGAATTTCACCTTAATTTTTTAAAAACGGTGAGTCAATCTTAAAAGTATTGCATATGAGGGGCTCCTGGCTGGCTCAGTGGGTAGAGCGTGTGACTCTTGACCTTGGGATTTTGAGTTTGAGCCCCCACACTAGGTGTAGAGATTACTTAAAAATAAAATCTTTTTTAAAAAAAAGTATTGCATATGAGGTAGACAGATGTGGGGGGAAAGTTATAGTATAGGGAATGACAGGGGCGCCTGGGTGGCTCAGTTGGTTAAGCATCTGCCTTCCGCTCAGGTCATGGCCCCAGGGTCCTGGGATTGAGCCCCACATGGGGCTCCCTGCTCAGTGGGGAGTCTGCTTCTCCCTCTCCCTCTGCTGCTCCTCTTGCTTATGCATTCTCTCTCTGACAAATAAATAAATAAAATCTTAAAAAGAAAAAAGTATAGGGAATGACAGTAGTTCGAAAAATCCTGATATAATGCATCCCTCTGGATACAGGGATGAGGGGATTTGAAGCCCTGGGAAAAGTGCCTTGGTCAAGGCCTTTCTCTTTGCTGTGTGGCCTTGCTTCTGTCTCAGGGTTGAGAAGACTGTTGATACTCTTTCTAAACTCAAAGATTCCACCTGGATCAGGGGAGCCCCCCCCACACACACACAGAGGGATCTGCCTACAGTGCTGGATTCTCCGTAGAAACCCACCAAAGAAGTGGGGTCCCCTCGGAGCCCCAGATTCAGCTTGTACTGTCAACACAGAGCTGACGTGGCACCTCAGAGTCGAGGCCCTGCGCCAACAGACACATGATTTTTATGTACTTTTGAGATGAGGTCAGGATCCACCCTGTGGGTGAACTTACCTTTGCTTTGACTTGTAAAACCAGATCTGTGGAGCCTTCCCCTGAGAGCGCCTGAGGGAGGCGAGCTCTGGAACCCCACAGCTGCAGGCTGAATAATTTCCCCAGGAAGCCACTAGGCATCACCCCTCCTTCACTATTCCTCCAGCTCTTAAACTCCCACTGCCTTCAGCAAGAGGCATGAGAGGAAGAAATGGAAAGGCTTGGTTGAGTCTCCCCTGCTGACCTAGTGTTTATGCAGAGGAGAGTAGGAAATGCTCGAGATGTGTCACTTTTTTTCTTGACATAATGACATTGTAAGGCACATGTGCACGTGCTTTGTTAAAACATTGCCTAAGGATGTGATATACATATATGTGTACTTTTATTAACGATACATTACGATTTTTTTCAGACCTGCTTTTTTAAAGGCTGCGGAAAACTTCACTCTTTTGGTTAAGAACAACATCTGGTACCCCAAATTTAATTTCAGCAAGTAAGTGGTGGCTGGCCGAGGGAGTTTCCCCGTGTTTTAGAGCGACTTCTGGCTCTTCTTTGAGGCTTTCCTAGCTTCATTTCTGCTTCCTCTTGATTTCAGGAGGAATATTCTTCCCAACATCACCACTACCTACCTCAAATCGTGCACTTATGATGCTGTAACAGATCCCTTCTGCCCCATATTCCGTCTTGGCAAAATAGTGGAGAGCGCAGGGCACAGCTTCCAGGACATGGCCATCGAGGTAGGCACGGGCCCCTGGCCTCTCTGACGGTTTTCAACACGCCTCATTCTAGAATGGGCCCCGAGGAAAGCTTGCTCTGTCTCTGCTCACAACCCACAGGGAGGCATCATGGGCATCCAGATCAACTGGGACTGCAACCTGGACAGAACCTCCTCCCTCTGCTTGCCCAGGTACTCCTTCCGCCGCCTGGACACCCGGGATGTGGACCACAATGTGTCCCCTGGCTACAATTTCAGGTAGGCCTGAGCTTGGGCCCCGGTTCTCTTGTGTGGGGGCCGGGGGCAATGGTGGCTGGATCACTCCCCAGTGGGGGCATCCATGCCCATCAAAGACCAGCACTCACTCAGCACCCCAAGGGCAGGTGGGAAGGCTAGGTGCCAGAGACAGTGTTCAAGCAGAGCCTTGTACCTGTACTGATGTTGAGGAGCGGGTGAGCTTGTGATCCTCTGGACCAAAGACCTCTGGGGCCTGACCCAGGAATTAGTTTCTCAAAGACCAGGTCTGCCCCTGGAATCTCCAGGGTACGGGGGATACAAGTTTAAGCCTCAGGAAAGGCCTTCACTGGCATTTCCCTGCTGAAAGTACCATATATGAGTGTCCTGGGGCTTTTAACAAAGTGGGTGGCTTGAAACAACAGGAAGTTACTCTCTCCTAGATCTGGAGGCCAGAGGCCCCAAATCGGTATCAGCAAGGCCAGCCACCTTCTTTGCCTCTTCCGGGTTCTGGCGGCTTCCTGCGATGCTCAGTGTTCCTTGGCTCATCACTCCTGTCTCTCCCACCCTTGTCACATGGCCTTCTTCCCTCTAGGCACATCTCTGTGTGTCCCCTCCTTATAGGACACCAGTCATATGGAATCAGAGTCCACGCTAATCCAGTATGAGCTCAGCTTAACTCATTCCACCTGAAAAAACCCTGTTTCCCTACTTGCATTTCACATTCACAGGTTCCAGATGGCTACAAATCTTGGGTGACAGTGTTCAACCCAGGAGAGCTGGTCATTTGATGGAAGGACCTAGGGGCCAGGGTCAGGTTTGCCACTTCCTTGAGGCAGCAAAAACCTTAGCCATGTATGTTTTCGTGGGCGCTCTGTGGCCTCTTTCACGAATTTTGCCACCTTTAAACAAAGCAGCCCTACCAGGGGCCACCCGAGTAGGTCTGAGGTCCTTTTGTGTTGCACTTGTCTCCCTCTAGTGGTGACGTGTCACAATCAAAGACACGTGGGATCATAGAACCATCCGGAACTGCAGTCGGCTATCATTTTGAACCATCTGGCTCGCTGATACTGGGGCAGATATTTGAATTTTTTTTTTTTCCTAGGAAAGAAATTAGGTTTGGGTTGCTCTAGCTCTGTTACACAGTTCTAGAAACTATTGTGGAAAACCTCAAGCTTGGGTCAGAACCTCGGGACAGAGAGAAGCTTATGGGAGCCCTCACCAGAAGGACACCCATCCCCCTGACCTCCGCTGGTATCAGGCCCCACCTGAATTCCCCAGGCCCGACCAGGGCATGGATGCCGTGGGCCAGACCAATCATGGCCCAGGAGTTCAGGCTTCTCTGAACCAATGTCCTGTATAACACGGGCAGCAAATGGCATCATGGCTCAACAGTGCCCCCATCACCACCATTCCCCCTTGCGGGTTTTCTTTTTTTTTTTTTTTAATAGCTTTATTGAGGTATCTTTCACCTAACACACAGTTCATCCATTTAAAGTGTGGGATTGAATCGTGTTTAGTCTAGTCATGAAGTTGTAGGACTATCACCACAATTTTAGAACATTTTCATCACCTCAGCGAGAAAGCCCATACCCTTCAGCCATCACCTCTGTCCTCCCTTCTACCTCAGTCCCCGCCAACCACCGTCTACTTCCTGTCTCCCTGGACTCCCATATAAAAGGAATCACACACTGTGTGGCCTTCTGTGACTGACTTCTTTCCCTCAGTATCATGTTTTTTTGAGTTTCATCCATGTTGTAGCATTTATCATTACTTTATCTCTCTTTATGGCCAAATAGTATTCCGTTGTGTGGAATTTTATTTATTTTATTTTATTTATTTATTCATTTATCCATCGATGGGTCAGTGGTTCTTTAAAAAGATGTCCAATGCTGATTCTGTGAGTTTTGTGGAGTTTCGTGGCCAGCTCCATGCCCCTACCCACAAGGCAGGCCCGGGGTTTGCTGCTTGCTGACCATATTCTGTTAGTGGCCAGGATCTCCTTGAGACAGGCAGGTGGCTCAGCTGTGATATGGATGATATTCAGAGTGAGAGGTTCCGGCTCAGCCGTAGGAGGCGACAGTGATGCTGGAAGAGTTCTTCTGGTGCCCCATGGGCCCTGGCACCCTCCTGCCAACAGCCCAGTCCTCACGCTGCATGCCCCACAATGGCCGGGATAGGCCTTGAGATGCTCAGGTGGATCCAGCCACCTGTCTGTCCCTGCCCTGTGCCTTCTGCCTCTCACCTGTCCTCCTTCCCTAGGTTTGCCAAGTACTACAGTGACCTGACTGGTGCTGAGCGCCGCACGCTCATCAAGGCCTATGGCATCCGCTTTGACATCATAGTGTTTGGAAAGGTAGCCTGGCCACCCCTTCCTCTCGGGGCTCTGGTTCAGACCCAGGCTTCTGGGTTGGCCAGAGACAAGGGGCCCTCTCCCCACCTTTTATCTGCTCATGCCCTCTATCACAACTTTTCCTTTTTCTCCTGTCATTTGTAGGCTGGGAAATTTGACATCATCCCCACCATGATCAACGTCGGCTCCGGTTTGGCGCTCTTAGGGGTGGTGAGTGACTTAGACTGCTCCTTCACCCCCAGGCCTGGGGCCCTCCTCAGCAGTAGTTAGCCCAGTGAGGTGAGACCCTTCACTGGCATCTTGGTTCTTCCCCTTGACCCTAAACTCGTCTCTAGAATGGACCCTCTAAGGCTTGTTGCCCTTGCCTCCAGCCCCACCTCACCTTCGCTTCTCCAAGATCACAGCCCTTGGGGCCTCACCTTTTCCAGAGAGGGGGAGCCTTGCCTTTACTTTCCTTGAAAGATTCTAGGCTTTGTGGGAAGGGGCATGCGCAGAATAGCAGGGGCGAAAGCATCCTGGCTCATTCTCTCTCACCCTGTGCCACACTCAGGCGACGGTGCTATGTGACGTCATAGTCTTCTACTGCATGAAGAAAAGATACTACTACCGGGAGAAGAAATACAAGTATGTGGAGGATTATGAGCAGGTAGGCCACCTCCTGAACTCCAGAAGGCAGGAAGGTCCAAGCACCTTGCCTCCTGCACCTCTTTCTTGTACCAGTGGTGAGCAGGAGTACTGGGCCTTCTGGGGGAGACCCCAGCGCAGCGGTGCTATTGGGCATGTGGTCAACCCAGGAGGCCGCACACCGCTCCTTCTCTGCTCCACTTCTAGACCATCCCTCTTTAAAATCTAGCCTCGGGACACCTGGGTGGCTCAGTCGGTTAAGTGTCTGCCTTCGGCTCAGGTCATGAACTCAGGGTCCTGGGATCAAGCCCCGCATCGGGCTCCCTGCTCAGCGGGGAACCTGCTTCTCCCTCTCCCTCTGCCTCTCCCCCTGCTTGTGCAAGTGCGCACTCTCTCGTGCTCGCTCGCTCTCACGCGCATGCGTGCATTCATTCTCTCTCAAATAAAATCTTTTAAAAAATAATAAAATAAAATGTAGCCTCATTTTGATTAGTGACATCTCAGGTTAGTTACAATAATGAATATTATCACAAAACCCCACACGAAACTTGCCTTGCATGGCAAGAGGGGTTGGGTACCATGCTTTGAGACCCCCTGCATGAGGACTAACCTGAGTATGTTCCATTGTGAAGGGCTGCCCAAAAGTCCTGGCTCTCACCCGCCCCAAGTGGTCCAGACGTACCTGTGGGCAGCACGTGGTGGGTGTACATTTATCCATAGGCATATCAATCAACGATAAGCATATCATTCTTTGCAGGGTCTTGGCGGTAAGATGGACCAGTGATGCTTCCTCCACACCTGGGCTCCCCCCCCGCCCTCATCAGATCACAGCCAAGAGGGAGAAGAGGCTGCCGTGTCACTTCAGAGAAGGTTCCAGATTCTGAATCCATCTCCACTGCACAGGAACTTCATGGTCGCCCAGCTGTTTGTGTCTAGGATGTGAATAGTAAACCACCCTGACACTTGGGGGTGTTGGGGTGACCTCTGGCCCAAGGGCGGTGGTGCTCCTGCCACTGCAGGCCTGGGGCCTCATCCAGAGCCAGCCTTCCTTGGGGGGCTCCCAGCTCCAGCTCCCTGTGAGATAGGCCCAACTGAGGCCCGGCAGCTCGGTTCAAGCACTTTATGAGGAAAGGAAGGACAGCCAGGTGTGGTCGCTGGACCTCTAGCACGCAGGGGCATCTGTGCTGTCACGGGACAGTGTCTGTCCTTTGAGAAAAGGCACGTTGAGGTGGTCAAGGACCAAACATTAAAACGATTTTCTCAATCTTTGTGTGGTTTCATAGCACGAACTAGAACTTTCCTCCCTTCCCTTTTACTTCAACCAGTAAACCCATTTGTTGTCCCAGCTCACTGTGCTCAGAAAAAAACTTCCTGAAGCAGTCTGCAGTTGGAGCTTAGGCGTTTTCCCCCTGCTTCGACCTTCTCTTGAAGGCCTGGGAGTTTTGATTTTTGTCAGGTTGTGTTCCTACAGAATTTACAAGATTTTGTCCTGTAGTGACTACTTGTCTTACCCGTGTGTGCTGGTGTTTTGTTTTGTTTTACCCAAAATTGTGGTACTACACTGTGGAGGACACAATTTTAGATAAGAACATGGTTTATCCTTCTTCCCTCTCCATTCGCTTTCCAGAAGTCTCCAAGCCACAAGCAGCACCACCTACACCTACTTTGCTTGAAATGTTAATGAAGTTATTTCTAGCTGCGCCTTCACACCGACTTAATTCTGCAACAAGTCTTCAGGATCTCCTTAAAGAAAGCTGCTTGCCCCCCCACCCCGCCGCCAATCACGAATTCATTTCCAAGTACTGAAGGGAACGTTTATTTTAGAATTGCCTGCTTCTGCTGGATAAAACCTGGGCTTTTCTTGCTTTGGGGGGTGGGAAACGTTTACTGAACCCCTTTGAAAAAGCTCTGGTTCGTGCTGCCTTTTTGGGGGAAAAAAAAAGGCCTGCCTGAACACACGGATCGAGTGGAGCTGGAATTTTTTAGGGATGGCTTTTCATCTTGCAGCCTAAAACACAATAGTTACTGGGGTCGGGGGGAGACTTCTCTTTGCCTCCCTTTTTCTCGGAATGCTAAGGCCAGCTGGGGTGAAGGATGGGGGAGGCATTGCTTACTTTACTCACCAGGTCTTCAGCTATATTCCCACTTGCTGGCCCTCCCTGGTACTGCTGCTTAAGGAGGAGGGGTCCTTGACCTTTGCACCCATGGAGGGCCTTCCAGGAGTCTCTGGAACTCCTAAAACTCTGCAAAGCAATGCACCTGTGTGCATTTCTTTTGGCTTTCATTAGATTCTCAGTGGGGTCTTTGAATAGGAATACCTGCTCTTGACTCTTAAAGACCAGTATTCCAAAGTTATATTTCTGCAACAACAGAACAAGGAGCGTTCACACTTCATCTGCTGTCCCTTCATAACAGAAAGCCAAGGTTCAAAGCCAGTAAGGCAATGCCATGGGCTGGATTCACATTTGGAGGGCAGGGAACACCCAGACCCTAGACTGGAGGAAGCATCAGTTCTAAAACAGTCTCCAAACGCCATGAAAACTGTCCAAGCTCTGTGGAACCCTGCATTTGCTGACAAAATTAGAGCCCTTGGACAACTGACTTAACTTTTCTGAGCCTCAGTTTACAGAGGATGATCCATAAAATGGGATAAATACCCACCTTGCGGGGTGATGTGTCCTACAACATGCCTGCTCACAGGATGTGTTCCATGTGTAATTAATACTGCTCCCAGAGCTGCTCACCTAGTTGGTCTCCAACAGAAGAATCTAGCAATTACCTGCCTGCTAAAGCAGTGCCTCTCAGACTTCCGTGGGCACATGAGTCACCTGGGGATCTTGTTTAAATGGGGCCCAGGAATTTGCACCTCCAACCCACTCCCAGGAGATGCTGATGCTCCCGGTCCAGGGACCATGCTTTTAGTAGCAGGATACTAGGACATGGTTACACAGACATGAATAATGTAATGCTGAATACATTAGCCCTGACTTGGGCATCTGATCTCACAGTCAGCCTAAGGAAGAAAAACAGACGTAAGGACGGATGTCCTACAGACATCTGTAAACAGTGACCAACAAAAATACCTCCGAAAGGCCCAGGCTTTGCACCATTTTGCTGTCTGTTTATTTCAAGTTTACAGAGAAGCTTAAACATCTGTGGAAAAACACCAAAGGCTTATTTTTCTCTTAAATTCATGTACTTTTAAGTGATAAATACACAGTATTTAACTTTGTACACCTGATAAAAAGGAAAATGCATAGTAGAAAGGATCAGGAATAAAACAGAAGCATCGGGCATTAAATCAGACACAGAATAGAAAAGTCAGCAGTCCCACGAAACTCGGCCCATAAAGCTGCAAAGAGGATGGGAACCGACGACCTTGAAACCTTCTCTAGCACCTTGGAAGCAAGTGGAGGTCATGGTTCCTCCCCCCACCAACGCAAAGCTCCCTTTTGGAAGATGAATGAGAGCAAACGGTTGAGCCCATGCATCTAAATGCTCAGGTATTCGCCTCCTCGTTCCGGAAAGGCTTTAAGGATGGGAGCCCTAACTCACGGGAAAGGCCAAACCCCTTGGGAGATGGCCTCTCCAGCCCCCAGAGCCAACAAGGGGCTAGCTAAGGCTTTCTGGGAGCCCCCGGTAAGCCTGTCGAAGAGACAGGGAAAGTGGAGCAGGGCAGAAGAAGATGGGGCAAGAACTTGTGCAGGCCCCAGGTTGCTTACACCAACTTGGTCCCACAGATGAGCCAGCAATGAAAGAAACTGATAGGGCATCCTTTTTGCTCACCCGGAGAAGCTGCCCATGATGGCTTCTCCCCTTTCCCAACAGAGCCAGCTTCCGAAAAACCAATGTTTGTGCTCCCAGAAAACGGTAGCCCCACCGCTTGACGGTACGGCCCTCTGCTTATACTTTTTGCGGGGAGCAGTTCCTTCGCACAGCTTTCTTTGGTGTTTCTTTGGAAAAAAAAAAAAAAGTTGTGAACCCACCCGCCTAAACAGCCGGCATTCCGCGTATGAAATCTTACGTGGGTAGTTTTGTGGCGGAAGAAACAGTCTTGCCCGATGCAGCTGTGTAAACAGGAGTTCTGCAGAGAGCTTGCTACCTGCCCGCCCCGGGCGAGCCGCTCGTCCAGGCCAGAGTCCACACAGACAGGCCGGGACTAAGGACAGGTTGACTTGAACTACTGCAAGGTGCTTATTGCAAGCTAACCAGACCCCATCTGCTCCCAGAAGGGATGGTGCCTATAAATACAAACAAGCGCAGGAACGCCAGAGGAAGTACCAGGTTACAAAAAGAAAGCAAGCAGGCCAGACAACCCTTCATCTGACGGTTGTCCTTTGCTCTCCGAAACCAGCATTCCTTAATTCTGTACTGCTTATAAGATAGCAAGAAAAGTCTGGCTAAATGACAGTCAAGAGCTTACGAAGGTCTGTGGAAGCCAAGAACACCCAGGTTCTGTGAATGCACTGGGTAGCGGGGGCACAAGGCCTTGCTCCCATCTCTCTGCAAAAAGTCCTCCTACCAGCGATGATCAGACAGAAACTACAGGAGAACATGTCCTCTCAGCCCAGTTACTGACACTATTTCGCCCAAGCCAGAGTCCACAAAACACTGGCAATCTCCCAGAGCAAAGGCCTTCCTGTTTTCCTCCCCCGTGAACTTCACACTCAGCCATGTGTGGCTCTGAAAGAAGTCACACTTGAACTGCAGTGAGAATTCCCAGTATGAGTTGGAACCCAAAAAGATAAACCTTTTCTGTCTGGGACTTTTGGCTTACAAAGCAGAACTCCCTGTGCCAAGCCCTGGTTCTCCTGGACCCTGAGGACTGCTCTGGGTTTCAACAATCCTCTCTAAAAGGGTGCCCCAAAGTTTCTGTGTAGATCCTAACAGAGCTTTGCCAGTAAGGATGATCATTTGTTTCCGCTGAAGCAGAGTATTTCCTCACTGGCCCTCCAGAAACTAAGTGCTTCACTGACGGCAACATCAGCTAGTATTTGAGAAAACAAAACCTTGGCAGTCTCTAGAATACACAGGTTACAAACAGACCAAGCTGCTAATATACAGGCACAGATTTCATTGGCTCTAACTCTGATCACATGCCTGAAGCCGTGGAAAGTATTCTGGAAGCTCTAAATGATCTCTGAACTACTCTAGAGTTCAGTCTAGTTTGAGAATCGAAAATATTTTATTTACTCGTAAGCCATGTAATGTACATGGAAGTGTAGGATTTCACCCTGAAGTTTTTGTCATTTAACAAGAGATTGACCAGAGCTCCGTTAATATTTCAGAAACCCACTGTGAGTGGCTATCAGTCCTTTAGGTAAAACCTCCCCCCCCCCCCCCCCCGCCCCACAACAACCACGGAACGCCCTTCGAGGGGCGGAAAATCCCCTTTGCGAAGCAATTAAGCTTCCAGCCCTTTCCCTTTTCCTGACTACAACTCTACCCATAAAAAAATGTAAAGTCCTTCTTACAAATAAGGTGCATTGAAGCTCCCTGCAGCTAACTGAGGGCTAGCCCTGCCCGGTCCCCGTGACCCACAGTCCTGGAAGGTGCCACAGGCTTGGCGTTTGGGGCTTTCAGGGTTCGCAGGAGGAGTCACACCCCCCTTCCTCTCCCTTTCAAACGCAGCAACTAACTCTGTGGTCTCAGCCCACACCGCCAGAGTTTTCTGCCAGTTTTGCATGATTTTCAAACCCCACACACATTCACTTGGTATATCTGACATGGTTCTGAGTTTACAATGAAGGATTTTTGGCATAAAAACGTTTTAAAAAGCAATTGTCCCAAAATGCATGTGGCTTTGGGTCTGCAACTCCTCACACCCGCCCGTTCAGCCAGCCAGCGGCCAAGGTCGATGTCATGGAGTCAAGTCTTTTTTTTTTTTGTCCCCTTGAAAACAACAAAGGAAGAAAAACAAAACAAAACAAAACAAAACACCAGAGATGACGGTCAAGGCTCTACACACGTGCTGGGTTTCCGTAGGACATGCTGCTATGGAAACGCAGGGTGCAGCCTGCATGCGAGGTCGCGCGTCCGGGCAGCTACTCCGTCACCTCGTCGGGCCGCAGAGGATGCATGCGAGCGCGGGGGCCGGGGGCCAGGGCCCCCCAACTCTCGGCACGGGGACCGCCTTTCACAAGAGCACTTCCTCCTCCCCCACGGGGGGCGGGTCGGGGCCCCGGAGGCTGTCTTCGCTGCCTTGCTTCCTGCTCACCGAACAGAAAACCCACGTTAAGGCAAGGCTGCCACGGCCTGAGCCGGCGTCTCCCGCGTTCCCACACCACCTGGAACGTCACTGACTTCACTTTTCCCTTCAGAGTCTCTCCCCTTTTCTCGCCTATATGAAGTTTCAAAGGAGACTTTGTATCCCCTTCTGTAAATGGAAAAGCAGCATCATTTGCCAAAAATAGAAGGGAACTATAAAAATAGATGCGAACCTATCTGTGTAACACCTAAAATCATCCCATGTGAGTAGTGTGCAGCCAGCGATGGGGTCTGTTCACA